ACGCATAGGACTACGAGCCGCCATCGATCTGTTAGTATCCATGGATGCGATAATCCCCCGCCAGCAAGCTATACTAAATATGCCATGCCACCTATCAATCAATCGATCAATCGTCCGTCAAATCCCTTACCCCATGAAAGGTTTCAAAAGAAAAAAGTAAAAATTTTTTCGAGACCCCAACCCACGGAAAGCGAAAACAGTGAAAGGGAAAAAATTTACTGCTCCTGCAACAACAGCGTCCATCCATCTGCCTATAATAATAATCCCCGGATCGAGGCGACACCGCATTTCCTAAACCCGAATTCCCCCTTTCTCTCCTCCCGAACGAATGATCCACCATGAAAGAAGGAAAGAAAACTAAGTAAGAAATAAGGTAAGTTAAGGCAAGAATAGCAATCCCCCCCAAAAAAAGCAAATCAAAACTCAAAACAAAGTCATGATCGACAACGAGTAGTGCCTCATTAGTAGCGGGTTTTTTTAATTTTTTTTGGGGGGGGACCTCTTCTCTTCTTTTCTTTTCTTCCCTGCTTATGCTGTATGTCTCTCCCCTTGGTGGTAGTGGTGGTAGAAATTTGTAAATCGGGCTGGATGTGTGGGCTGGCAGGTGTGTGAAGTGAGCGAGTGATGGATGGATGGATGGATGGGTAAGTAGCTATGTAGGGTAGGGTTGGGTGAAGGGGAATAATGAGGATGGGGGTGGGAATGAGGTTATGTGGTAGGGTACGAGTAGAACTCTTGGTAAGAAGAGGAAAAAAAAAAATGTTAAACAGCTCAGCAAGTCGAGACCCTGGGCTAAGGGTCTGGGCAGCAGCAGCAAGAACAACGGGTTCGCAAAAAAGAGTGTGTGCGGAAGGAAAGGAGGAAGCTGGTAGGGTTTTGAGGGGGCAGGAGGAGCGGTGGATGAATGAAAAAAAAAAATTTATTTAGAAATTGGTTGTCCGTCTGTCCCTCTGCATCCTGGCCTGTAGCTGTAGCTATCTGTCTCTGACAGCCCTATCGTTTCGTCGTTGTCGTTGCTCTTTTTGCGCAAGTGGTGGTGGGGTTTGAGTTTTTCCCCTGTTCCCCGGATGGGGATGGGGGTGGTGGAACTGGTGGTGGGTGGCTTGCCAGTTAGGTTGTGGTGTCATGGTTGATGGTAGTGTGCAGCAACGATAGGGTGGTATCATAGGAGGGAGGGAGGAGTCCGGGGGGGGGATGATAGGATGAACCGTGCCCGTGGGTTTTGGTTGTGGTGGACAACGCTTTTGCACAGCGGAACTACTGTAAGAGCAAGGAGTTTTGGACTGCTTGGAAGATTGATAAGTTAATGGTGGCGATAGTGGTGGTGGTAATGATACTGTAATTGTATGTACAGTACTGTACTCGTACCGTAGCGCGTGTTTGGATTCTCAACTGCTTATTTACTATGATATTGCGATTACTATTATTGTACTAATATAATATTATGATAATATAATTATAGATGGAATCAGCTCTCCCGGTGAGCCCTAAAGGTGCCCTTCTCGTGTATCAAGAGATTTCCATAATATCTTGCAGGGTACTGTACTCCCCATTTGTACCTGGGTGATAATGAAATCCTGGCCGTTTGATATTCCGCGGTACCGTATCGTAGCCTTTTTTTCTTCTCCCTACTCCTATGGTAAGGCTTTGTTTTTTCTTATTTTCGTCAGGAGAGATTGATTTTGACTTTCCCTTCCCCACTGGGGGTTGTTACAGACCAAAAAAAAAAAAAAAAGGCCTTTATTATTATGATCATCAGTCGATGGTTGGCAGATCGACCTGTGTTTCGGAATATTTTATTTTTTCCCTTATCCCAGACGAAAATCAACGCTTCTTCGGACCACAATCGCCGTATTGTGGCCAGACCACCATCACCATCACCATCACCATCACCACTACCCCTTCCCCCTCTTAACCCCCTTTCCAGCTTCCTTTCTACCCAATTCACCGGTTGGGCCACCGTAAAATAGGGTACTTGATAGGACTGGCTGAAGAAAGCCCGTACATAATCTTTCCTTGTCCTCTGCTCAAAGCATTGGTGAGGATTGCTGGGACTAATCAGTACAGATGAGAATTTCAAAAAGGAGAGAAAGGGTTTGGGAGACAGTATAAAAAGGAACAATAATTGTACAAGTTGCAATGCAGCGGGAAACCGAATGAGGAACAACCTGGGCCTGTGGTAAAGTATAGCGAACCCCCCTGATTATTAAGTCTCCCTTTCCTTTCTTTTTCCCACCTGTTCTCTTGGGTGGTGCCCTTCGCTGGCCCGCGAGCCCTGCAAGCAAGAACGGGCCCCCTTTATTTCTTACACTAAGTCTTTTTCTTTTTTATTCACTGTTCCCACGAACCCTCTATAAAAAAAAAAATGAATACGGTAACTTCAAACCCACACGTTTCCGCTTACGCCCTCCCATGAGCGTTCCCCCCGCATCCGGCTGAACCATCCATCGGACCTAAAAGACAAAATGCGCCCACACTTTCTCGCCCGTCAAATCTCTCGGCACATCCCATACCCCAGCAACCCCTCCACCCAGGAATTACAGGTGGTGTGCTACATGGAACCAGACTGCCAAGAATATTTGAACAAGAGACCAAGTAATAAAAAAAATAGACCTACAGCTCAATGAAAGTTTTTATACCCACAGCTTTTTATATATATCACGGATACAGTATCCTGAACAACTCTGAATCCCCCCCGTGGTCAGATGCACGACACGCACACACGGTAAGTGAGTAGCGCGTACTACCTTATCGAGCAGTATTTTAGACTGGTAGCTCGAACTTGCGACCCTTCGATACTCTGTTTATAAGCACGGTCCATTAGTCTTGTTCCAAAAGCTTAACCTATCAGTCGTCCCCTCCCGTTTTACCGATGATCGGCAGCCTCGTTTCAAGGTGGGGGTCAGGTAGGAAACCGGGAAAATCAGGGGAAGGAAGGGTAATTCGTACGTGGTATAGTAGATGTAGAAGAAGTCAGAATAGAGGATGGTCTGAATAATACCCGCTACTGTGGCGATGGGATCTGTGTAGTTTTCCATAAAGTACCGATACAGCCAATTCGGGATGTACAATGCCCGGTATGCGCCCAGCGCGAAAATATAATGTGTTGTTATCGTTTCTCCCGCACCAGTTCGTTGTAGCATGAAAAGCTGGGGCAGAATGGCCACACTTTCGAGCCAGATGCTAAACGACCAAAGAACCTAGTTGTAGCAAAAAAAAAAAAAGAGCAACGTCCGATCAGCCTCACAAATCCCCAAAAGCTCCTGCAGGAACTAGAACCGGTCGGTATGCGGCGGCAGCAGGAACAATGTGTGAAAAAAAATTCGCTGCCAACGCCGCTACCCATTGTTACGAAACACTGCCCGGTTCCCCCGGTCAATCAAGTGGATGGAAATATACCTCTGCTGTCGTCCACTTGTAAGGAAACAGTAGGGCCAAGATTGCCGATCCACCAATGAGGTACTCGACTTTGAACGTGTCAATGTTTGGATCGTGCGTTGGCTTAAAGTCATTCAACATGAGGTAAATTGTGTATGCCGACGAGCCGATGAAGATGATCTTCATCAAGCTATTGTAAACCGAGTGCTGGAAGGTCCATAGTAAATCTTGATCGTTGCAACTTGTCAGAACCGTCGTCCACAGAACCAAAACTTAGATCCGAGGGGTGCATAAAAGACCACCCAACCGAGAAGGCTCGTGGGGGTTTTAACCCGTGGGGAATTTTCCGTACCTAGATAACGTGTGACATAAACAATGAGATACAAAACCTGAGATTTGAACGATATTCCTATGCAACTCTATCGCACACACAATCGTCAGCGGACCACGATCAATGTAACGGAATCGATCTCACGAACATGACATCCTTCTATTAAACAAATGATGGGAGAGGGGGATCCTCCAACCTTCGATATACGCATCTTGTGAAGTAAAATGAAGATGGATATGAGATGGGAGAGGTCTCCCGCAATTCGGAAGAGATTCATGAAGGGCAATTTTTCTCCGAATATCGTTTAGAAGAGGTATCGTGGAGGCCGTATCACGCGTAGTTCCTATTTGCCCAGGAACCGAAAGGGTTGGTTGAATCGTTGTAAGGAGGTTGGTTGTGTGTCGATGTCTTCAAGTTGCTGTAGGCTTTCGAATCGAGAGGACACGTTCCGTTTAACCAAGAAGCCGGCGAAGTGTTGGTGTAGCCGGATGCTTTGCCGGGGTCAACCAGCAATCACTTTGGACTTACAGAAGGTAAAAAGGAACTCGGTAGAGCCTCAACGTCGGAGTAAGGAATGGATTGCCTCGCGACCACAGCCAGTTGAAGCTTCTTCGATATCGACTATTAACAATTCCTCAGTTAGGGGTCCAATTTGGATCCGTGATGGCTTGGCAGAGCGGATTGCGCATATCGTGTGTTACCCTACCTGATCTCGTATAAGTTATGATACCGGTAGGGTAACGAGAAATTCAAAAATTCTTAGTTCGGTATCATAGATCACATGACTCGGGGACCAAGTTTTCAAAGGATCTGAATTTGCTTGGTCATAGTCACCGAAGCGATGATGGAACTTCTCTCAACAAGCTTTTCAGGAGAATTTTTGCCAATATCGTGGTGACAGTAAGATGCCATATCCTATGATATTTCTCACCGAACCTCTTTTGGCCGGGGACTTAAAATAGTCTACCGATATAGCTTGGACAAATACTAATACAGTACCTCGTTCGGAGGTCTCAGGAAGGTATCCAGTTCGGGGATAATTCCCAAGCCCTGTTTGTAGTAGTGAATTAAGCCTGTCCTATGGAGAAAGCCTTTTGGATACCATCAACCGGGAAATATACTCACCAAGACCAATTGTACGTCCACGAGGTATAAGTTTGCCGTCAGTGGTAGCACGGCGATTACTCCCCTCTGGCGGTCTTGACGATAGGATTATTATGTTGATATAATAACTATCGCTTATAAATCAAATGTCCCGAGAAACTAGTGTCTCTGGTAGTACTGGGGGGTCATTGAGGTAAGCGCAATCATTCCTTACAAGAGTTTGTGCATGCACAAGAAAACGCTTGCACACTTTTTCCCGTCTTTTTTATCACTCAAACAATGCGAAAAAAGAAAAAAAATCCTTCCACAGAAAAGAGCAAGAATGACTTAAAGCCTATGGTACAAGTATTTTTCTAAAATTTCCCCACAATTCCTTGAGATAATGGATGATAGGGTGAAGTTGCTCAGCAATTTTCTTAGGGTTCTTGGCACACAACAAACCACCCAAACAGATGATAATAATATTATTATTATCATACCACTTTTTAGGTGAGAGCTGACCGACACACAAAAAGGCTCTCCGAAGGTAGAAAATTCTAAAATGTAACAATTGACTATTTTTTTTTTTTTTTTTTTTTTTTCACAGTTTTATAGTGGGCCAAAGGGAAGGTGACTCTCTGCAGAGGTTACCCTTTTTTGATGGTGCCCCCTTATCTCCCAGTGGGGTCTGTTGGTATCATACCGGTATCCGCAGGGTTTTGCTGCCAAGAGCATGGTAGACTATATGAAAGGTTTACTCCCGGCTTGTAGCTCACACGCCCGAGCACCTGTACTCGAGTGCTGTGATACCAGTATCACGTTAGTGCCCATCGAAGAGCGGCCGCAACTACGGGTATGGTGTGCGGTTAAGAAGAGTTTTCAAACAGCAGTGTACTGGTACTCGAGTAAGGCGAAAACGTGATTTCCACGAGTACGGTCGGGGTGTGCTCAGGTATAGGTATGGTCCGGGAGCCGTGGAAGTGTGTAACCCGCTTCGATTTTGTCGGTTGATAGAAGGCTGTCAACTTGACTACTGGTATCGTATTTTGAAGTTTGGACCTTAAACTCCCGTCTCGCTATTATAGAACCATAATAATATTATGATGATCTAAATCATGGTTCTTGGATATACGGGTGCTCAAGTACTCGAGTACCATTACCAGTAATGATACGAGTGACACTATCACAAGTCCAAAGTCCCGCTGGGTTGATGCGAGGCCCTACAAAATACCGGTACTACGGTACTTGAGTACCGGTACGGCTAAATCCATGGAAATTTATGCGTGAAGCTGGTTTTCGTGCTCGGAATAGTCGGGTAATGGAGACAAAGAGGGTTAGCGAGACATAATCTCTGGGGAAACTATTGGTTAGTTGGGACGACAAGCTCATTTTGTGCGCTTGGCGGCGGTTCTTCCGGACCTGAAAACAGCACCAACCATAGTCTAAGGAAGGGGAGGAAAAAAAAAAAACTTGGAAGAAGGAAGGAAAATTACGGTTTCAATCTGGATTGCCCCACTAGAATTGTTTCAAGGTCGTTCCTATTATAGCCCGTTCTAGGGGGAGAAACGAGTCCTGGGTGAAAGAAAAAACGGCTAGCAAAAGAAAAGAAAAGGAAAAGTCGTCTTTCTGACCCTCCTCCCCTGCTCCCCACATTTTCCTCTTCGACAACCCCCTTCTTCCCCCCGTAGTTCGTCCATCTCTGCTCAGTTCAGACTTCAATTCGCTCATCGCCTTCCTTCTTTTTTCTTGAGTTAATTATTTCTTCCTTCCCCGGTTGGCAAACGCCATGCTGCGATCCGCTTCTAGGGCTCCTTTGAGGATTCTTTGTCGATGGTCCCCAGGCAGGAACTTTGCGACAACCCCCATAACTGAGGTTATCTCACCCCATCTGCGCAAACAAGCTGTCCCTGCTCGTAAGGTCATTCCAAATGTTCCTCGAAACCAATCTACCTCTGCATCGTAAGTCTCTAGATCCTGAAATCTTTTTGTTTACTGGCGGAACCTCATGAAACTTTGAGTTTTTAAGGTCTGATTGAAGTTGTGACTCATTACCATATACAGGGCAAGACCAATTCCTTCACCAGCCTTCGATCAGGATCCTCCCTCAACAGCGCCTCCGGCAGCACATGCGCCGCACCCACTCCAGCCCAAACATGGCCAGGAAATGGACGATTCGTAAGTGGCAAAAAATTTCCTGCAGATTCTCTGGATCGAGATTTGCTAACAAGAATTGGCTCTATCGTAGATTTGTTGGGATGTCGGGTGGTCAGATATTCCATGAAATGATGCTTCGACATGGGGTTAAGCATATCTGTATGTTTTCCTTTTATGCTTGCAAAATTTTCTGATACGCTTAGCTTGCTGACTCATCGGTCTTTTTTGATAGTTGGATATCCTGGCGGTGCCATCCTCCCTGTTTTCGATGCTATTTACCGGTCAAAACATTTTCAATTCATTTTGCCCCGCCACGAACAGGGTGCGGGGCATATGGCTGAGGGTTACGCACGTGCCTCGGGTAAGCCAGGTGTTGTCTTGGTTACATCTGGCCCAGGGGCCACCAACGTTGTTACCCCCCTCCAAGACGCTCTTAGCGATGGAACTCCTCTCGTGGTTTTTTGCGGCCAGGTACCTACTAGCGCAATCGGCACCGATGCCTTCCAGGAAGCCGATGTTGTCGGAATCTCCCGTGCCTGTACTAAGTGGAACGTAATGATAAAGGATGTCGCGGAGCTCCCACGTCGGATAAATGAGGCTTTCGAGATCGCCACATCAGGCAGACCAGGACCTGTCCTTGTCGATTTGCCAAAGGATGTCACGGCCGGTATTTTACGGAAAGCCATCCCCGTAGCAAGTGACTTGCCTTCTCATCCATCTGCTGCCTCCCTGGCTGCGAAGGAGGCCAGGAGGAGGTATCTTGATGCTAGTGTCGGGAGGGTCGCTAAGCTTGTAAACATGGCAAAGAAACCTGTCATCTACGCCGGACAAGGTGTGATTGAGCGGCCGGAGGGGCCAAAGTTGTTGAAGGAGTTTGCGGACAAGGCAAAGATTCCTGTCACCACAACCCTCCAGGGGCTGGGAGGTTTTGACGAGCTCGATGAGAAGAGCTTGCACATGCTGGGCATGCACGGGTCTCCATATGCAAATTTGTCGATGCAAGAGGCTGACCTGATCATTGCTCTTGGGGCAAGATTTGATGATCGTGTCACGGGAAATATCGCAAGTTAGTACTCATCATGAAAGAATATTGCTCATCATGCTTGAAATCGCAGGCGCTAACGACAAACCCAGAATTCGCACCACAGGCCAAGTTGGCGTGTGCCGAGGGCCGTGGAGGCATCGTCCATTTTGAAATTATGCCCAAGAACATCAACAAGGTTGTCCAAGCGACCGAGGCTGTTGAGGGTGATGTTGCCGAAAACCTTGCTCTCCTTATCCCCCGAGTCAGTTCAGTGGCCGAACGTCCAGAATGGTTTGCACAAATCAATGACTGGAAAAAGCGCTACCCCTTTGCCTTTGAGAGAGAGACTCCTGGCTCTATGATCAAGCCTCAGACTGTTATTGAGGAGATCAACAAGCAAACTGCACACATGAAGGAGGAAGTTGTTATTTCTACTGGGGTCGGTCAGCATCAAATGTGGACTGCTCAGCACTTCAGATGGAGGCACCCTCGTACAATGATTACTTCTGGTGGTTTGGGAACTATGGGATATGGTCTCCCGGCTGCTATTGGGGCTAAAGTTGCCAGACCTGAAGCCACTGTTATCGATATTGACGGTGATGCCAGCTTTAACATGACTCTTACTGAGTTGTCTACTGCTGTGCAGTTCAATATTGGTGTCAAGGTCATCGTGTTGAACAATGAGGAGCAAGGGATGGTTACCCAATGGCAGAGTTTGTTTTACGAAGATAGGTTCTCTTGGACTCATCAGCAGAACCCAGACTTTGTAAAGCTTGGTGAAGCTATGGGTATGAAGTCGATGAGATGTTCGGATCCCGCCGACGTTCCAGGTAAGATTAAGGAGATGCTGGAATACGATGGGCCAATCCTCTTGGAGGTCGTTGTGGACGTAAGTTCTTCCCTTACCCCCTAATCGTTCTTTCAATTCTGACACGTTCTACAGAAGAAGGTTCCTGTCTTGCCAATGGTGCCAGCCGGCAAAGCCCTCCACGAATTCCTGGCTTATGACCCGGATAGGGAGAAACAACGCAAGGCAGCTCTGCAAGCCCGGTTCCCAGACGGAAAATATTAGCGGCATATTGAACCAATAGAAATTTCCTTGGGTCCTTTGATTTGTAATGTTCTAGCGATTTCTAGCTTGTATTTCTTTTCTTTTCCTTTCCTCTTTCGGGTTGCGGAAAAATGGGTGAAGAGATCCAATCACGGCTCTTTTGGCTATCTTCTAGGGGGTTCTAAAACGGCTATTTGAATATTTTATGTTTATGTGTCTTCTTGTTCATTCCAATTATTTTATGAATAGAGAAAGGGCGTTACCCAGGCGCACGCAGCAGTTTGAAAAGCAGAGTTTGTTTTTCCTTGAAAAAAGCAAGAAGGAAAGAAAGAAAGAGACTTGTACGTACCTGTAGGTAAGTCAAGTTCCGCAGCCAAGCAGAATCGAGCCGTACCAAGCAGGGAAGCAGGTGCCTTATTCGTATTATGCCCCACGCGTGATCTTATAATTGATCATTAAATTTGTAAAAGTAAGAACAACGCATGGCAAACCACCCGCGAGACCCGAGCTTTATTTTTTTCCCCCGAGGATGTTTAGAAGGGGAAGAAAAAAAACTCGATCTGGAGGCTTGCCGGCAGACGCATGTATGTACCCACCACCCAACTAGACATCCTGTACAGTACAGTACGACCAGCAGCACGGCGCAAGCAGCCCATCCCACGATGAGACGAGGTTTTTTTTTTTTTTTTTTTTTTTTTTTTTCACTACAACCTTACCTTACCTTACCTTACCTTACCTACCTAACTATTACAACACCATACTCGAGTACTTTACTGCATGAACAAGCACCGTACACGGACCCGCGTGAGTGAGTGCGCACACACGCAATCCGACCCAGAAATGCTCAGCTGAACCCTAAGCTGAACCAAAGAAGAGCAAACAAGCAATCTACCGTGCTCATAATGTCGAAGCGTTTTTAGAAAAGACTGCTATTGCATACCCCCAAAAATTGGCCATTCTGCTTGGATCTTGGTGGTATGGTATGCAATAGCAGTCCTTTTTAAAAACGCTTCGACACTACGAGTACTCGGGCTCCGAAGAATGGCACGCGCACCCCGACTTACTGTACTGCACTGTGCTGTACTGTACTTGAGTACATTTTACTCTTCCCACCTCCCCCCCCCTCCCTCCCCACGGATGGCCCATCCCTGCGGTAGCAGCTGATCCCCCGCAATCTGCTTCGTCCACGCCACCTTATGCATACAAGCGATCTGGGTGTAACAGTATACGCCACGCAAGCAAACCGGCCGGCGAAGTGCGGTGGCGGGCGGACGGACGGATGGGGTTGGCGAACTAGATTTGTTGATGGAAGTGGGGTTTTTGTGGGCCTGTGAGGGGTTAATGGGATTGGGGAGGGGGGATTAGTAGTTCCCTGCGGATGTCTTTGCCGGGTGGGGATCGGGGAGTTGTCCGATGGGTTGGATGGATGGATGGGTGGATGGTGGGATGGGTGGGGCTGGGTCGGGTCATGTCTTGTCACTCGGGGAGTTTAGGGGGGAGGTTATTGGTGGATGGAGGGCACGTTGGGAGGGGAGAAGGAGGATGTGGTGTGGGTTTGGATCGGACGGCCGATTGGGTGATAAATGGGGGAGCAGAGTAGAGTAGGGCGCTTGTTTGATACTTTGTTTGTTCGTTTGTTTGTTGGATGGGTGGTGCGATATATTTGTCATGATACTTTGTTGGTCGAGTGTGAAGGAATGATTTGGGAAATCGCTACCTCTTTTTGGGTCTCTAGTACTTCCTAGTGTGGGTCACTCTCATTCCTCTTCTTCCGTGCTAATAGCTCCTTTCACGATACTTGAGCTTCAGCTAAAGTGTTCACCAGTCGTCCCTGCCGTAGGTATGATACTATCCGCTCTTGGGAGGACAATATATCCACAGCGGAGGGCAAGGGCACCAAACCCGAGCCAGCAGTAACCAACCTTTCTGCCCGGCTCACTCAGGCGGTGGAGCATATGGTACATACTGTATGATAACCTCAATTTCTATCAGCTCAGGCATGCACTAAACCTTCAGCCCTTTACCTTACCCTCCAGATGACTTCGACCTCATCTAGTAGAATACCTAGTACGAGGCGGCGGTCTAACTTCCAGGCCACTAGGCCGAATCGTAAACAACAAGCAAACCATAAACTCCAACATGCCATGGCCATTGTCCGCGGTTTCGAGACCTCTATGGAGGGGCCTGATGAAGACGGGCGGGATCGTCCGGACGCACTTGAAGGCGGTACGATATCAGCCTGAGCGCGAACACCCACAGTGAATAGCACCCACAGTGAATAGCACCCACAGTGAATAGCACACGACCTATGTATGACACCACGATAAACGGAGGAACCTCCCCCTCCACAGATCTGAGGAGTGGAAACCATCTCCCCTTCTTTAGGTTCTGATTCTCCAAGAAGGAGCACAGTACTAGTACAGCGTCAGCGGCGGTGCCGGAAGCTCAATAATGATAAAATAAGGTCGTGAAATTGAGTGAGTCGTAGTGATCGCTTGAGCGGAAAGCAGGACCTTTAGCAACCCACCCTCCTTGCTCGCGCTTCACACGATCACAAGAACCGATTATGCTCCCTACTCGGAGGGCTTTTAATTAGTGAGGTTTGGGGAAAACATTTTCGGGATAATAATATTATGATATATATTGCTCCGGGGCGTGGCCGCAAGGTGGTCTTCTCGGTACTCGCGATTCTCCTCTTGGATACCTGTAAAGGGATTATATATTATCGAATATTATCATTGCAATTCTGACCTTGATGTGCTGTCGAAGCACCTAAGTCTAAGGTCGGGTTGCTTACGTAATCATACGAGTTTTTTTCTCTGCGTTCAGCTTAGTCTCGAGGTGAAAAAGAGTTATCGATGCTTGCTACGCTCAAGAAGAGGAAAAAAGGAAGAAAAAATGAATCGAGTCCAAGTCATTTGGGATATCGGAACCCGCGAAAAAGATGATTGAACAGTAAAAAATTAGGAAAATATGATGGGGTAGTGGTCTATGATACTTGTCCGACGTTGTTCTGTTCATACCTTGCGGGGCACGTGACATCTCGACCGAAGTTGAATGAAACTTGCTGACAAACTTTTAGCTATGATACTTATGTAATCAATAAATCAATCTCAAGTCGTGGATGGCCGAGTTGTGGATAAAGACCGGAGAGGGTGCTGCGTCGATATGAAAGGCAATGGAGTGGATCTCCATCATGTATTTGGGCCCCGTAGTTTGTACGGTACTCTATCCTGAGAAGAACAACGCCCCCCCCTCACCACCTCACACAAGGTTATCTCCTACATGTACTCGTACTCGAGTACAATGTACCGGTACCGGTAAGCTCTGTTAGTCACGTGTCTTATATCACGTCGTACCAGGCCGCAGCAAGGAAGGTTTCACCAAAATTTTGCTCATCATATTCACGCGACCAATAACTTATCATACATTCGTCATTCGCACCCGGTAAAAGAGTGAAGAACGTCAGGACACTCCCGGAAATGAGCAACATCCCCTACCACCACCACGATAAGTAAAAGAAAAGAAAGACATTATAATTCACGATAAGAACCTCTCGGAATAGCATGTATATTTCGATCGAAAAGGCACGCAAAAATCCTTATAAACATGTTTTTCAAGAGCACAACATCGGGGGCGCTGATGGTGAGCAAAAGATATAAATACCCCAACCTTGACAACCGGTATCCCTACACATATGATGGTGCGGCGCAGTATCATACTTCACAAAGTACTAGTACTCGTACAATCCAAGCCTCTATCTGCCCGGGTACAATGAGGCGCCAAAGACCACACACACACACCCTTTTTCACCGTAACCTCCCGTGCAATTTTGGTGCTCCTGGTTAGTTACCGCTTTCCACATATATATAGACCGCAGTCGCGCTGGGCAAGACCGCGGGTAGGTTAGGTAGGGATGGGGCGCCAATGAGATGGTGAAAAAGTGCACTGATCACCATCAACACCCGAAAAAGAAAAAGAAATGCTGGAATGGAAGGAAGGAGGGAAAGAGAGGACTGGCAGACTGAACCGACTACCCGGCTCAAACAGGGGGGAACGTACACCTGTACTCGGTGTCGAGCGGGTGGTGGTGGTGGGGACGTCAGGTAATTGTGAACCTCCACATATTTCGAGAAACGTATGATACCCGTGTTGGATCGAGCAGTTGGTCGGAGACGCGAGTGAGCTTACCATGCTCTGTAGCCACCAGGAGCACCCAGGCATGAACCCACCAAGTCCTCCAGACCTTCACCCATCTCTTCGGGGAATACTCGAGTGCTCGTCTGGGTCTGGAGGCCCTACAATTTCCACTTCTGATCCCCGTTGACTCCGCTTTCGACCGGATGGTGTCTGGCAGATTTCATGTGGTTCGGTTTACGTATATAATACGGGGGAGGGAGAGTTACTGGAAGGAAGCAGGAAGGCGAAGGTGTGCTATTCACAAGAGCCGGACACAGCCATTTCCCACCATTGCAGGTTGATAATATTATCGATAACGCGGGATCTCTCAACATGATACAATCAATTGCCCCGTTGCCCTCGCTCGCTCCTATTCCTCGCCCTTAGAGTTCCGGGTATCATGGTCATGGCCCTGCGACGTCCTGTTGACGCGCCAATCTTGCTGGAGTTCCTTTTCGCTACCGGTAGCGAAAGGCGGGGGGAGGAGGAGTATGATAAAGTAGGTTGGGAGAATACTTCCACAGTCTGCGGAAAAAAGCAGCTGATCCTCCTTAGTGGTCTATACCATCTAGTTATCTGAATGGTCACTGAATCCCCCAACTCAGATCTTCCCACCACCCATCTTATCAGCCGTAGACTTCCTCCAGGCATCAATTCCTCCTCTTCCTCTCTAGATATTTACTTCCCTCGCAAAAACCTCCGGAAATAAATCGCTTTTTAACTCTGCTCTCGCTATCCTTGGGCCTTTTTTTTTTTTTTTTTTTTAGAATTTTCGCCGTTTTGAACCAACTCGGGTTTCGTTTATGACACCGATTGTAGCCCGCCTTCGACCACGCGAGTGAGAGCTCATGTCCGCACCACTACCCACCAACCTAGGCCAACTATCATAATAATATTACTGTATAATATCATGCCTCAGCCACCCGCATCGCTGCGCCACAAAAGAAATACCCCGCCAAACTCACTGCTCATATGACATTGTGTTTATCATAATTTAATCTACTTTACACTTCCTTCCCTGTCTGCCCACCCATTCGGTTTACTTCCCCGCACCTCAACTCATTGCTATGCAGCTATACAAACTATCTATTCCCCAAAATACAGGCCTACACCGATAAACAAAAGCAGCAAAAACCAAAAATTTAATCGTTTGTATCATCCATTCCATTCCCATTCTGTTGTCGAAAAAGAAAGGTGGAAGAAAAAAAACCTCTAAGTAGCATGACGTAACTAGGAGAAAAGACAACCTAACAGAGAGGAAAAATAATAATAGAAACCGATGGAGGGAGGGAGGAAAGGAGGGGGGAGCTAAATACAAGAATGCGGGGTTTGTAAGGAAATAGAAGAGGGAAAAAAACCTCTGACGCCGAACCTGCATTAACGATAATAGTCCGTTTCGAGTTGGTATACGAAGGGTGATTCAAGAGGTGGGAAAGTAAGGGAGAAAGAAGAACACTCGAGGGAGAAGGAAGGGGAAAGGAGAAGAAGTTAATCATGGTAATTCGTAGTCTATGATAGTACATCACCATAACATCATCTTCCCCCTCCCTCCAAAGAAAGGCGCACTACTACCCCCCGAAAACCACTTGCGCCTCCCTACAATGCCCCGCATTCGGTCCCTCCGACCCAACGCATACCAGGCACGCATCCACAATATTACTCAAACACCCCTCCGTCGCGCCGAGCACCCCCCATCCAATCGCGCCAGCAATCATGCCGACAATATACCCATATCCGCTCCCGCCATTACCATCCCTCGCTGCGACCCACGCTCCGGTTCCCAAACTCAGTGCCGTCACGCCGCGAGTTGCGGTCAGGAGCATCTTGCTGAGTTTATATGCCGTGCGGGGATGTTTGCCACCAGCGCCGTAACCCGCGGTGTCCACGAAGCGCATGTTTGCCACGGCCCGTGATGATTGGATCAGTGGCTGGGAGTGGATGGCACCGTAGGTTAGGGTTAAAGGGGTTGTTAGGGCTGCAACGGGGGAGGCGATGAAGTTGAAGCAAAGCATGTGCAGAATGCCCGCAATACGGCGGGGGGCAACCATTAAGGGTAGGCGGACTAGTAGGGCAACTAGCGTTGAGAAGCAGATCGTTCCAAAGAGGGTGGTAGTCGAATGGTGGAGGGCTGCGGACATTATGGCTTTTGAGGAAGTGGTTGGGATTGCGTGTCTGTGGAAGTACCATTGGGAGACGGTTGCGGCGGATGTCGCCCTGAATGGTGGTTAGGACTCTGATTGGCCCCTGGGAGAGTTACGAACTTACCTCTGAATCCCAGAAGTCACTCCCAGAGTCCACAGGTACATCAAGATGTAGTAAACTCCTAGCGTAGTACTCTTGGCATCCAAGGTCCACATAGGTTTTCCTATAAAATCAGCAAATAAAACAACTTTTTGCAACAATCTTATTCAAACATACCATTCATTAGCGTATTTCCAATCCAGAAAACCCTAGTGAACATTCCGACCCAGATCCAAGTGAAAACACAAACGCCCACAAGGGTTCCAAAGCTCAACAAGACCAACGCTGGGTTTTCCCCAAGAATTTTGCACGCTAATTGGATAATCCCGATAGCCCTTCCCAGTGCATTCCTCCCCTTATAAGCAAAGTAGACCCAGAATCCAGCCATCGATGCAGGGAAAATGCTTCCCCATCGCATAGCCTTGTCTTGCGGCCCGTTACCGCCCATTTTCCCCTTATACGACATAATGAGTGGGTATAAACTCAATGCCGCCAGGACCACAGGCACCGATACCAATATCAAATATATCAGCGGTTTTACGAATGATCGGAGAAGATACATCCAGACTAATGACACAGCGATGGCAAGAAAGGTATCCACAGTGAGAAGATGTATGGCCGAATGTAATGTCCGGTAAATCGTGTCAAGGGGTAGCTTTGCTTCCTCTGTGTGAAGCCATACAACAAACGATGTAGTAAACATACAGGCCATCAGCACCATGTAAAGGGTACCCCATAGGTGGTCATGTGAGGGTGGTTCTAATGGGGGATGGGCAACTTGCTGCGGTATCTATCATATTTATCGCGATCAGCTTAAGCTCATCAACACTACCATGTAGGCAAAAGGAAAGCGAAATAAAGGGCTCCCGTACCGTGCTCATATGAGGCCCCCGTTGATGAGGTGACGATAGCCTTGGCATAAAACTATCCGCCTTAGCTGACGCTGCAAAGGGTAAATTATTGGAGACCTGTGGCGGGGTCCTCCGAAATTGCTGGAAGGCCGGAGGATCATCATCCGGAGGCATTTCTATGGCAATATCATCCGGCGGACCCTGATCATCATCCTCGTCCGCTAACAGACTATGACCCTCAAACGCCCTGTAGTCTTCCAACGATCGTACCATATCCTCGGGATCGATATTCTCAGGCATCATCCCTAACCGTAGGCTATCATCCAACCCGATATCAACCATCTTATCCTTCCCCTTCCCCTTCCCCTTTTCCGTTCCACCACTCAGCACCGAACTTGTTTGCGATGTTGACCCAACCAACGAAGAACCAGCAGACCTAGAGGCCCTCCATGAACTACGAATACCCCCAGATCCCGCTCCTAAAAGCCTGTCCTTCCCCTTCCCTTTACTACGCCGTAGCTCTTGTGTGCTATCCTCGGAATACTCTCCTTCATCCTCATCCTCTTCCCCTACGGCGACATTGGTCGGAAGATTGTAACCCCCGAAATGCCGCCGACTGCTCTTCAGGGCATAGAAATCCTGGACCTCCTGTTCGTGTTCCGGGTCGTCGGGTAGGTAATCTGTGGCGGAGTGAAATAATGGAGCCGGGTTTGGGGGCCCATTTAGTCTTCCCTCGCGTATGGCACTAACACGGGTCTGTGATTGAGCCAGAAAGCGGGAAGCATCTGTTTACATTGAGTATTAGCAGTGAAACGACAAAAAAAAAAAAAAAGAGCCCGAGGAAGCGAGAAGGAAAGTATTATTCGAGTGTCCGGCTCTGATGAACTGAAGGGAGCTTTGTCAAGATTAGGGGTAGATAAGGTACTACATTCTGAAAACATGATGAAGATGGATGAATGGACAACTGGCCCCTAACGGGAGTGCGTAGGGAAGCCAAAGACGGGTGGGCGGTTGATGAACGAGGCTCGTGCGGGTATTTGTGGGTTGGGGCGATCAAGACAGAGGGCCAAAGAAGGGAGCGGCAGAAGATGGATGACGAGTAGGGGCGATAATCTACTGTATGTACAAGATGAGGCCTCTCTAGTGGTAGTTGTGGTTGCTGTTGTGGTGATGAGGACTAGAGTTGTGGGGGGAGGAGAGAGCTGAAATGGGGGGGGGGCCCTGGTGATGGTGGCTGGCTAACGAGAGCGGTACGGTGGTGGGAAAGTTGAGGAGTGGTAAGCGAGCAGGCGACAGAGCAAGCAAGGCTAGACGACTATGATACTACCGTGCACGCATGCACTTATTCACACATGCAGCCTCTGACCTTGAGAAGAGATAGTCACTCCGGAAACAACAGATAAGTTAAAATAAGTCAGGATCTACCGTTACTGGAAGAGGTTGGACAGAGTGACTAAGTGACTGAGAAGGTTGCTTACGGTACTTCCCCAACTGAAGGGGTGGGTGGTCGAGGGTACCTAATTAAAAATACCGGTATTAAGAAAAGTAGTAACTTTTTTCCACACAAGCTCAAAAAAGCCAGCCAGGGTCCGAAAGTGAGCACGAGGGGAGGAGAGTGTGAGCACAAAACCTGTCACTTCTCCCCTCTAAAGGGAAAGGCAAAGAAAAGAAAGAAAGAAAGAAAAAAACTCACACACAGAGAGAACACACACAGAAAAGAGGCTGCGAAAAGAACGAGGTCTCTGCTTTGTGACACCTTGCTGTGGTGGCCAGCATTATGGATGTGGAAACTCAAAGTTAGCGGGGTTCAAAGTTAGTCATCGGCCAAGACAACGCCTGGAACTTCCATAGTAAGCTCACACCCAGCCGCTTGACTCAATCCGACAGCAGCAGAAAGACTCTCTAACTGCAGAACAGTGGGATATTTATCATACAAGCCCGAAGGCAGCAACCTAGCCCAGCATCAGCAAATCCTCAACCCGGTACTTTGTTGCCCTTATGAATATAGTACGGGTACAGCATACCGGTACTGTATGTCCATTTCACTCCCCTACATACCGGCACTATGAACTGGCCAGGTACCGGCAAGCCAATCTTCGACTCCCTCGCATCACACTGTAGACAGGGTGATGCCGGAACCATCGAGTGACTCCCCCCCCTCTCTCCCGAGTCCCAACTCATTGATCAGGGGCAACTTACCCAGAAACCCTTCCAAACCATCTCTTTACCGAAAAACCTCGTTTGTAGCACAAGATACGATACGGTGCTCGAGGACGGTAGATACCGATTTGCTTTTTCTCCCACTCCAAACAATGATCCACATAGGTTCCCGTACTTCCCCTGCTTTAGCAACGATGTCTTAGCCAAACAGAAGGCAGAAACGTGCACCTTGAAGAAAATGCTCCATGGATCCCTCTTTTGGGCAGCCAGAGAGAGCCCTAGGGCTCGCTTAGCTTGCTCTTGCTGCAGGGATGTCTTCACCCTGCCCGAGGAAGCAAGTCTCAGCCAAGCCTCAGCTGCACTTTCTCGCCGCATCAGGCAGCCAGGCGGTAGACTATGGTCCCATGTAATGAGCTTGAGCCCCGGTCACCACATATCACTCAGGCGATCAGGGCGGCGGGCAGGGGGGGCTTCTATGTGGTAGCCCACCGTACCTAGCAGTACCCTATACGTAGGTTTCTGCTGTGGCCCCGATTCTTCGCCCAGCGGGAGCTTGGTGAATGACAGCCATGGGTGAAAATGCACGCTGTGTGAATGAGCCAAGTGCAACCCCGATGGTTTCCCATACGGGGTGCTGATTTCCAATACTTAGTCATCTGAAAGATTAGAAAAGGGCTCTGGTGGAGGGATTCGACCGTATTATAGGATCGACATATCATAGTTAAAGGGCGGGCCGCAGGGACAACACCGCGAAACTTAAAGCTCCCCAAGCAGTCCTGGGGGGCAGGGAGGAATCCCGCAATGCCAGAAATTGGCCCAACGGCATGTGTGGAGTGGTAATAACTTTCTTGCCTAGCGTCGTAGCCCCTTCCGACAATTTGCCAACCAATAGCAAGCACATCATAGGACTATCTTTTATCTGATTCAAGATGGGGCACAGAATCCCCGGTTCTCACAAATGATTCGCATTCGGTACTCAACCAGAGGCTGTGGGATCAGATATCCTGATCTTGCTATCATAAAGGCTCATTAGTCCGCTATCCTGGGCGTGCGTTGTAGAAGACGTTATCGTCGCAGTTAGGAGACCATGTATACCATTACCGGTGCGAGTATCACTCCTTCCGCTCTGTGTTTGCGCTTAATCTGCTCGAAAGGGTGAAAAATTGAAATCTACCAGTCCACGTGCCTCAGGCGGTGCCATAGATGGGGAGTCTTGACTCGTTTTAGGTATGCAAGGTTAGGGGAGTTATAATTAAACTGTAATATCATTGGTGGTATTAGCTTTCTCCTTCTTCTTCTTGTTCTGAGCCCCTTAGTATCGTCTCTTATTAGGGAATTTGTTTTGCTCAACCCTTATCCAGCATCCTTAGCTCGGGCGCATCCGGTCTACGTTCAAGAGATGCTCAATCTGAATTAGCGGGGTCACTGCTTACTCCCGTTAAAGGAGAAGGGCGCTGTATATCAGGTTCATGTCCCTACCGCCTAACGCAGGTGATCCGTAATCGAGTTGGTTTTAGGTCATAAGCGATTGCAAAGGACATTGATAGGTAAGTTTGAGGGTATGTGCTCCCTGTTTTGGTCCCTGTTGAGAAGGTTGGGAAACCCGATATCTATAAGCCCGAGACAGCCAACTAACGCTCTTAGAGAGGTATCATATGCTGGCTGTTGTTGGGTCATCCGATCTTCTGAGCTGTGTGGATTGCTCCCCTTATAATGGGTCCCCCATATCTTAGACCGTTCCTCTAACCCTGTCGCAACAGACCAGTTATTTAGCACAACGGATAGACTAGATAACCTCCCAGGCAATCCGGAGAGATGCCGATTGGTGGGTTCTGCATGAGGAAACGAGCGATAACTAGCGTACCGGTAGTTTCCATAGTTCATCTACTCGAGTACTCGAGTAAGTAAGCTACCGGAAAATCTCTTATCTGGATTTAGCTATCAGGGTTAGGGAGTGTCCGCGCGCCCTCGGGATTGTCTATGGTAAAAAACGCAAGGGTGCTTCTCAAGTTACTCGAGTACCGAAGGGGGTGTGCTTGGAGCCATCTCCAGAGTAGGTTCTCAGACCCCAGATCCGCACAGGGGTGTACTATGACTCTGATCTTGCTATGGAGCTATCACATCCCACTTGAGATTTCCTATCACAGTCATCTCCACTGTGGCTGCGGGAGAGAGAAAAGAATACTATCTAAATGTTCAAGTTGGTGGTTAGTTCGGCAGCCACCGCAGAACCCTGGAAACCAACTGCACCTTGGAATAGATCCACAACCGCCCAGAATACGGGTCATCGGGACGGTCATACCTGAGATGTTGTGTCCTTTCTTACCCCGGCCTTTGAATAAACCGCGAGGCATACTTCTGGACCTCCCCGTTATCATACTGTCGATAAATGGGAGTGGTGCTACGGTATTCTTGGACTACATGATTCCCTATGCTTGGGACTTAAAAGGTTTTACAGGAGCTGGTGGGATTGGGAACCCTGAAAGCTACCATATACTGCTATAATACTTATGAGCGGTTGCCTTTTCAGAGTATCATATGCTACAGGTACAGTACTACAATCCATTTAGATATCATAATATCGTACAATGAGAGTATATTTTTCGGACTTCTCGGCAGCTAAACCGCCTAAGCCCGAATCCCACACAACATGAACTTGCCGATAGGGTTAGGGTCAACTCTCAATCCCGGGTTCCAGCACCTTTTAAGACAAGTCCTGTACAATACTGTATCATGCTGTATTGTGATGGCTTTCCCAGGACAGAGGTTAGTCTAAACGAGACCTCGCTATCAATTAATCCGGGTCGTGGAAATGTCACATTCATGGATCAACAAAGATATGATACTAGACTATTTGCCACGGGTTCCCTCCTCCAGAATCCTAGAAATGAGTGATAACCCTTGAATATTACACAAGCGAGGCGAACTGCACCCCAAAGCTTGAGCCCCCAAAATGCCCAGGAATTTTCCTCCCCCGTGACCCGTGATTCAACCTGCAGCAACCACCGTTGCTGCCACGGGCCCAGCCAGCAGCACCTACGGTAGTCTACTTTACTTCCTCCCTTTCCCTCTTCTCCGCCGCCACCACAACCACCACCACCACAACCACCACCACCACAACCACCACCACCTGCTTGAGAGACAAAAGTCTCGCCTTTTCACACTTTCTCTGCTTTTATTAATCGAGATAAAGGAGGAGCAGCTCAGCAAGCCTGCTCGACTAACCCTCACGAAGGAAGGAAGGGAACTGAAGAAGAAAGAAGGAGAAAGGTCTACTGCCACAAAGATGCCGCAACCATGGGACTATATTGCTGTAAGTCACGTTCGAACGGTAGTCACTTGACGGAGGGAATCACACTGACAGACCGGACGACAATACAGAAAGTTGTTAACATCGGCGACTCCGGGTGCGGAAAGAGCTCGGTGCCTTTTCCCCCTCCCCTCCCCCGCCCCACCCGTTCCACCCCCATCCCATTCATCCACCCATCCATCATTTTACCCATCCATGAGTGTAATCAAACTGACAACGACTGAAAGCTCACCATCCGCCTCTGCGAGGGCCGCTTCAATCCAACCCACGATGTAACCATCGGCGTGGAATTCGGCAGCCGCATTATCCCCGTCGACACGAGCCCCACGGCGCAAAAGATAAAGTTGCAAATCTGGGACACAGCAGGGCAGGAGTCCTTCCGTGCGATAACCAAGTCCTACTTTCGCGGCGCAACGGGCGCGCTACTGGTGTACGACATCTCGCGGCGTGCGACGTTCACGCACGCCACGGAGTGGCTGGAGGAGCTGCGCGGTGCGGCCGACGCGAACATCTCTATCATCCTTGTCGGCAATAAGTGTGATCTTGGCAATGACAAGCGTGAGGTCCCCATTGAGGAGGCTAGGGCTTGGGCTGAGGGGAATGGGATTAAGGCGTTCGTGGAGACCAGTGCGAAGACGGGCGAGGGCGTGGAGGAGGCATTTGTGGATTGTGCTAGGGAGATTTATAGGAATATTAAGAGTGGGGTGTATGATTTGAATGACAAGAGCCATGGGATTAAGACGAATACGGCGAAGACTAGTCTGAGCATGGATGAACAGACGAAGGTTAGAGGTGGTTGCTGTTGATATTGCCCCCTCAGGGGAAATTACGAAGGAATTGGCAGAGCCGCCGAATTGGGTCAGGTTGGGTATGCACTTTTTTCTTTTCTTTTTTTATTCCTTCCATTATCATGATTCCGTTCTTGTATGTGTTAATTCCTCCTCTTTCTTTCTTCCTTTCATCCCCTCACTACCTATTCTCTCCTTTTCTTTCCCCTCTCTTGCTCCGTCTTCGGCTGCAATGTAGTGGTTGGTGAATTCGGTATTGATGGCAGGCGTTTGTGTTTTCTTCTTCCTTCCTTCTCTCCGATTAATATGGGCTTGCTTGTTTGTGATGATGCCTCTTGGTCAGTTGATAGATCTGGGGTGGGCGAGGTTTGGTTGTAGATACAATGCGAAGTGCTTGATGCATGGTATTTTTATTTGTGGTGTTGGTTTGGAGTTGAGGAGGGATATTTTGCATTGTTTATTGGTGCAATGTCTAGTGTTGTGAGGGAGTTGTTTTATGAAGGCAGTGAGGGACCTGAAGGTTTGTATGGTGGTCATGGATTCTCACTCGGCTGAGATCATTTTGTTGGGGAATAAATAATGGATTGCCTATTTATGTCTACAAACGCCTTTCTACACCACAAGCGCAAAGCGGGGTGAAAAAAAATGCATACTAATGAATCTCCGACTAAAACTCCCCATGGACACTCCTCCCATACCACCCTGCGGGTCCCTTCCCCCCCGCTGCGCCCCCCCAAAGCCCGGTAAGAGTCTGCTCCGCGCCATCCCCCTCCTCGGGCCAGACCACCTCAACCCCCTTCCCTCCCCCACCATTCTTCCCCCCACCCTCAAGCATATCCCTCGCGGTCGCCCAAGAAAACCTCGCCATGCCAACCTCCCAGCCAAAAACGGGCTCCATCTCCCTCCTCAGCCACTCTTTCGTCTTCTCATCTCCCGGATACCCACTCCCAATCTCCTCGCCCTCTGGCACGAGTACCCCAATCGCCGCATCGCGCGTAACCTTCGCGCAGACGCTGGCCGCCGACACGATTGGGTATATCGAGTCTGCCTTCTTCGAAACGGTGACGGCAATGTGGGGGAAGAGCTTCTGTAGTCTAGATTGGTAGGTGCTCGCAGTGCCGACTGTGTCTACATAGATTTCCCGAATGTTGACGCCACTGGAGAGGACAGCCGTGATTAGGGTTGTGGTTGCGTCGAAGGCTTGTGCGTTTAGGTTGTAGGTGCTCGACGAGGTGGTTGAGCGTAGCATGCCGGAAGAGATGTCCCGGGGTGAGAGAGAGATGGTGGACCAGCCGAGGTTGCGGTGTAGAGTTGTGTCTGGCGTGGTGAGGGTTTGAAGGAGGTGGGTTCGGAGGGAGTGGGTTAGTTTTTTGGAGTCTGCGGGGGGTTTAGGTTAGTCGATTTTGGCTTTGGGAGGGGGGAATGGGAGGGGGAGGAACCATCGAATTTGTGCTCTCGTAGCATGGGGTTGTCGCTCTTTAGACAGTATGCTACGGCGTATACCATTGGACCTAGGACCGGGCCGCGGCCGGCTTCGTCTACGCCGAGGATTACCTCGCCTTCGGAGTCTTCCTGGATAGATTTGGGGATTGGGGAATGGTAGGTGTATGTCTCCCCCTTGAGTATCTTTGCATTGTCTATTGAGGGGAGTATCTTTGTAGCTTCCTTTGTAACCTCCTTTGCGGCTTCGGTGTCTCCATCTGAGAGCTCTTCTGGTGGTTGGGAGTCTTCTTCTGTCATTGTGGGCTATTAATGTTTGTATGTTATATTAGTTACTCGTGAGATGTTATGATAGAAAAAAGGCGCGTTATTTTATTTCCAATCGTGCAAGAGGGAGGTACTGGCGGGTTGACTAGTGTTGTGTGCTTCGAGAAAACATTGGGAAGGCGCGTTTTGGTATTAGGGAACGGTTCTGCCAAGACAAGGACAAGTTATGTCAACACCTCAAACACACGTTCTCTTTTCCTTATTCCCACCTCTACCACCGCGAATACTACCGGCACCAGCAACTACTAACCAACTAACTAGAATAGCATCGCCATCACCAACTCACTTTAACGCATCTCCACCACCGCTACCACAATGGCCCCAGGGTCCCCATCACAGCGTAAAGCGCGCGAAACCAATTTCACAGACATAGGCGTCGCGGGCCGGTGTGTTTTGCTTCCTCTTCCATCCTTTCTTGAAAGACAGTTTCTCTCTCTGTCCCTTCCTCTTTTCGCGTTTCTTGCGGAAAATGAGCTAACGGTTTACTTTCCTTCACGCAGAAAAACTGGCTTTATGGTTAAGGATACTGGTAAAAGGGATGCTTTCGGGATGGAGCATATGGACGCTTTCTTCTCGCCTGACCCTCCGGCGCCGCCACCGAACATGCATCCCGGGGAGAAGGGGAAGGCGAATGGGGGTCAGAAGAGGAATGAGGGTGAAGGGATGACGAGGGCGGTGGTGGGGAATAAGACGATATCGTCAGAGAGTATGGAGATTGTTACTAGTAAATACACCCATTCACTCACAACTGCCCCGCTGGGGTTTGCTGGCAATTTGACAAATATCGCAACTAAGGGAAAAAATCACTTTTCTCTCCTCTCCTCTCCTTTTCTTTCCTTCCCAGTGCGCTGTTTTCAATATTGTTTTTTCCTTTTCTACACTTGGTTTTACGGGCTAGCTAACCATTCCTTCCTTCACTCCAAAAGGCAGCGCCCCACCACCACCTTCATCTTCAGTCCCCTCCACCCGAAGGCTAACTTCGCTCCCGCCTCGCGCACGGAATCCTATAAAGACCAATCTTGGCACGCCTGCTCGAAGGGCCTCATCCGTGGGCTTTAGCTCCCCCGACAAACCCTCCCCACTATATCCCGCAAATCGAAAACTCGACTTCGCCGGTAGCGGTACTGGTGATAAAGAGGCTTCTCCGCGCCTGCTGAATCAGCCGGCAAAGCGTGTTTCCATATCACCTGTCAGGAACGAGGTGCATAGGGCTTTATCCTCATCCTCCGCTTCTGTCAAGGAGGTTGGGAAGAAGAAGGAGTCTGAGGTCGCGCGTGCTAAGCCTAAGACTAAACAGAAACAGGCCATGCCAAAGGTCGTTGAGGAAGAGGCTGTTATTCAGAATTCTCAGCGGACGCCGCCGGTTGCTGCAGTCAAGAAGAAGAGGGGGTTGTTGATGCAGGGTAAGAAGTCGGCTTTGGTTGCTGGAGGGGGGAAGAAGAAGGCCTTTTCGCTACAGGATGATGGGGATAGTGAGGATGATGGGGGCGGGGATGTGGAGATGAGTGATGGGGGAATTGATAATGGCCTGGATAGTGCTATGGATTTGGGGCGGCAGGAGGAGAGACATCCGATTGAGGAGGAAGTTTCGCAGATGCTGGAAAATGAGGACACGGTCATGGTTGATGAGGAAGGGGATGTGCAAGTCGCGCCGGTTAAGAAGGGAAAGGGTAAAGCTAAGGAGATGGTTAAGCAAAAGGCAGCAGCACCAATACCAGAGAAGAAAGCGAAACCTATTCCTCCGACGAAGAGGGCTCAGGCTAAGACGAAGGTCAATGGCAGAGCAGAAGCTCAGGATGAGTCGGATGAGTCGGATGAGTCGGAATCTGGAGAAGAAGTGGTTAGACCAGTCAAAGCTAAAACCACTGCTAAGGGTAAAGGCAAAGCTTTGGCGATAGCAGATTCTCAACCAGAGCCGGTCCAGGCATCCAAGGAGACAGCTCCCGCAAAGGCTAGGGGTAAAGCTAAGCCTCAGGTTGAAGAGATTTCGTCGGACTCAGAGCCAGAAGTGCAAGCACCTAAGCCCAAAGCTGCCCCAAGGGGAAAGGGCAAGGCTAAAGCCCATGTTCTGGAGCCGGGGTCGGAGCTAGAACTAGAGGAAGTTCGGGCTCCTAAACCGAAAGCTGCCGCAAAGGGTAAAACAAAGGCTTCCGCTAAGGTCATCCAACCTCAGCGAGACGGCAGTGAGGTAGAGGGAATCGTCCCAGAATCTAAGTCCAAAGCTGTCGCGAGGGGCAAAGGAAAGGGTAAAGCCAACTCTACGGCCAAGGACACCGAGGACTCAGTGGCGTCAACATCATCGGCAAAAGCGGGCTCCAAAGCTAAAGGAAAGGGCAGAGCAAAGGTCACAGCACCTCCCAGCGAAGATGAAGTCGGGGATGAACAATTGGAGGGAGAACGTGATCCCACCCCTCCTCCCCTACCGAAGCCCAGAGCAGCTTCAAGAGCCAAGGGTAAAGCCAAGGCAATACCTATCGATGAACCCGAAGCCGAGGCCGAAACGGTATCCTCTTCCCAAAAACCCGGGGCGAAACCCACCGCAAGGACTCGAGGCGCGGCAAAATCCCGCTCGAATCGTGAGCGCGAGATTCCAGAGTCCTCACCCGCCTCAGCGCCAATTGAGACTATTGACGAAGAAGAGGAAGGGGAGGGAGTAGACGACGATGAAGCTGTCCAACCTCCGCGTAAGAAGGTCCGCCAATTGCCGGGGACTACTAAGCCAGCGGCGCCAGCTGCTTCAAAAGGCAAGGGCAAAGGCGTCGCTGCAGGCTCCAAGAAAGCCACCGCCCAAGCCTCTCGGCCACGGGACGCTTCCCCAGAACTTACCGCCGCTACTACTGCTGCGGATACAAAACCCTCCGCCTCCTCATCTTCCCAAACCGTCGCGCCCCGCCCCCGCGGCCAGCGCGTTATCCGTGAACGCCCCTCGGTAGAGCCGGACTCAATCACCAACGGTCGGCCAACAAGACACCGCATGAAGCCGTTAGAGTTCTGGAAAGGCGAAAAAGTAGTCTACACACTAGCGGACCCCACCACCACCACCGCTGCAGCTGCCGCATCCACAATCAAGCTCCCGGAAATCGCGGAAATCATCCGCGTGGAAAGCGATGAAGATGAAAAAGCCCGCGAGCGTGAGCGCAGAAAGAAACGTAGCGCAGCCGCCCAATCCGCCGGCAACAAGCGCAAACGCGCCCTAAAGCAAGAAGATGCAGAAGACGAAGAATTCGAAGAAGAGCCTTGGGAATCACAAGTCGTCGACGGCGAAATCGGTGTGATCCGCGGCTACGTCAAACCCTTCCCGCCCATCGCTGCCTCGGATCAGTTGGAGGAAGCGGAGCTAGCCTTCTCCCGCAATAGGATCGTGACAGTGGAGGTTGCGAATGGCGACTTCACCTTTGTGAAAACGTGCACGCAACCGTTCTTTGGCACAGGCATGATAGAGATACCGCCCGGCGGTATCAAGCGTACGAAGAATAGCGGAAAGATGCACCTCGTGTTTTACCTGCTCCAGGGGAAGGTTCAGGTTCAGGTTGGCGAGACGACGTTCAGAGTTAGGGGTGGGGGGCAGTTTATGGTTCCTAGAGGTATTCTAAGGAAATCCTGTCCTTGACGGTGGGTGGTGGGGGCTAATGGGTGTGATAGGTAATCTTTACAGTATTGAAAATCCATACGACGTTCAGGCCAAGATGTTTTTTGCGCAGGGATGTGAGGTTGAGGTTGAGATTGAGGATTAGTTTGTATGCTGTTGTGGGGGCTGCTTTATTGTATGTTTTTTTATTTTTATTTTTTTTTATTTTTCGGTTATTGGCCGTGGTATTTGTCCCTCCTTTTTCTTTTTCCTTTTCTTTTTCCTTTCCTTTCCTTTTCTTCATATACCGAGAGATGGGAAGGGGTAAGGCGTGTAAACTATAACCTGACTTTACAGAAGCTAAATGAGTAACTTATGGTAGTTTTCTATATTTTTTTTTTTCCTTCCTCACATTTGGGTACTGATAATCGAAGATTGACCAGTCGTCTTTGACCCGTTCTTTTGGGAGCCAAGGGGAGTGGGAAACAAAAAAAACAAGAAAACTACGGCGGTGTCTGGCTCGCCGGAATTTTGATTTCGAAATTCAAGTTTTTTTTTTTTTTTGCCAAGCCAGATTTTAATATCGTCTCAGAAATGTTTGGCTCACCGGATTCCGATCCGGATATCCAAAATCGGGTGCCAAAAAAGCATGATTTGCATTTTTGATTCGCGTGTATGATATCACAAAGACCGACAGATTACAACTGCATAGTTCTTGCTTCTTCTATCGTCACTTCACGATTGGTAGTTTTGACCAGCATATCTTGGATATAGGGCAATCATAAAGGCATTCTGATAGAAGCAATTATATGTCGGGTTGGTACAACCCATTTCCAATTGGGAAAGCACGGCGTATCACATAATCTTTGCGAGCTGCGCTCCGGTGGTTAGCGGAATAAGGTATTGCCGGTTGCCCGGCCGGGGTCATAGCTCACCATGAGGGGTCCGTGGACCCCCGATACATATACTCCCCTGAGCCCCCCTTTTCCTCCGGAGAGAACCACAAGATCACCTAACCTCCTGTTTCCTACCGCTTGCGTTCTTTATTTACCTCGTGCTCACCAGAGACGCCAGAACGCGTTCAAGTTACACAATCCTCACCCAATCCCTCCTCCCTGAGCTACTGTCTGCAATTAGTAATTAGATAAATAGACAATGCCTCGCCGTAGAGGTTCAACGCGTCGTGGAAACCCTACCTCAGCAAACAGTCGAACAGCACGCGGAGGAGTCCGCAAAAACACACGCAGCCGACAACCTCCAGCTCGGTACGGTCATTCCCTCAGCCAAGAGGCCCAACAACTCATCAGCGATGAGACAAATGGCTCCAGCGGTAGCGAGGAGCCCCAGTCAAGCGAACCCCAGTACACCCATTCACCTTCGACCAACACCTTACCACATATGCAAGATTCTGATACCCGGAATCCCACATCCTCCTCCTCACGCGTAATTCTAGCAACCCTAAGCCCAATAGGAACTCTATTGGCACCGCACTATTCACCTAGCACCCCCATCAATCTCAGCAACATGCGCGAACTACTGAGATCCCATGAAGAAGATATCATTGAGCGAGTAGTCCTCCGTCTCCGCTCTAGAACCCAGCCCCTTCCCAACCACCACAGCCCAACTCTACCACATCACACAACCGCACAGTAGAGCAGACACCACTGCTGGAAAACCCTAGAAATGCGAGGTTAATGGAAATTGCAGAGGTAGAGGGCCAGCTGGCCCGACTGAGAAACGAAGAGAACAGCAGACGGAATAGGCTTACCGAGTCAAGGGTACCGGGTATGTATGACCCTACAGAACCATTGATGAATTTCGAAAGTGAGAGTGCATCGGGTGTGGTGGAATCTGTGGAGCTCTTGTTTCCAGGGGTCGAACGAAATACTTTAATCCAAATAATTGAGAACCGCTTCAAGCCAACAAATATCTACCGGCTATTAGCAACGGAAAAGGAACGTGGCGAATCCCAGCGAACTGTAAACATTGGAGGAATTCGAGCAAGCAGAGCGAGACGGGAAAGAGGGGGAATACCATATGTCCAGCTTTTTCAAAGCTTGGGCTGCCTATAGCGGAATTCTGATTAAGTTAGCCCCTCACGCACTACAAGGAGAACTTGCCACAGCGATGTCGATATATACAATGAATTTGTATGAATTGTTGGAGAAATATATGTGGGAGGGAGTTAGATCTTACCATTTTCAATTTCACCGGAAACGAGTCGCAAGTGGAAAGAACATATACCAAGCAATCGAATGGCGCCTATTGGACAGTGAGCTGGTCTCAATGTTTTGCCCACCCCATCCCGCGAGCTACTTAGGCATCTGGCTATAAATCAGCATCAGCAGCAGCAAGCAGAACATATGAGTTCCTAACACAAAAATCATTCCCAAGATCAGCATACCCTTACCCTTACCCGGGAACACCATCGTTCCCCTCTCCTAGCGCCATGGAACAACGAATACCCTTCAATCAACCTACCCTACCAGCGATTAGCATCTCGCCAGCTGGCACAGGAACATTACCCCCCAACGGACAAGCGTGTCGCAATTGGAACTTTCGGGAATGTAGAGCAACCCACTGCCTCTACCCGCATATCTGCATATCATGTGGCAGCAGCCACCAGGCAGTTCAGTGCCCACTGGCAAATAAGGGACAATCACTTGTTCCCCGCTCCGGTTCTTACCGACCAATATCCATTACCCACATAGAAGATCTTAATTCGCCAATCTGGCCAAATCACATTACCTTTCCTATGACTGTTAGCCAACATCATACCCACCCCAACACTGCTCTTCACTACCCGCTTTTTACCCCACATAATATCCCCATGGCTGCAGGCCCACTGAAATACACAAGCTGGAAGCAACTTGCCTGTAACTATCCAGATCCATCTGTAATTAGTGCAATTGCTGGCATATGTCAATTCGGAGCAAGGATAGGTTATGAAGGGCACTGCATGGCAGCAACTATCCACCTCAACCTCGCTAGTGCTAGGGAAGATCCCGCACTCATGACTACCGATATAAGAATAGAATTGCAGAAAGGCCGCTTGGAAAGATACAGCAGCGAGGCCGCTCTTCCTCCCAATTACACTGCCTCGCCCCTTGGCCTGACCGACAAGGCTGATAGGACCAAGCGCTGCATCCACCACCTCTCCTACCCGCCCGAGGACCCAAACTCAATAAACAGCGGAATCCCGGTTCACTATGGTGCTATTGCCTACAGCACAGTTGAAAGTGCTATACAGGCAATCCAAAAGTTCGGTAAAGACTGCCACTTGGTCAAGAGGGATTTCTAGAGTGCCTTCAGGCACATTCCCGTTTCCCC